CTTTTCCAGGCATGAAAAAATGTATTTGGTCATGCAGACATGCAGTCAGCAGCAGGTTCCACTTGTTCTCCTTCTGAACAGCACAGGTATCTGATTCACTGGTCAGTGGTAGCCTGGGCTGCCCAGAGGTGATGCAGAGTTGCCTCTTGGACATGAAAAACAGTCAGCTGCTGCTCATACATCCATATATGTAGTATGAGCCATGTAATCTGTCCAATCTACTTGCTTTAATTGTCTTTTGTCATAGTAAAGCATTCAGATTTTTAATGCCGTGTTAATGCAAAGGCTTTAATTTAAAAGAAGTCCAAAAGCAGGCCAAAAAAAAAAAAAGAGAGAAAACAAGTCTTTGTAGTAAGTGGATGCTGGGATCTTTTCAGAGCTCTCCAGCTTTATGCTTGGGGAGAGCTGAAGGGTAGAACTAGAAGAGATTTGTTGCAATGTAGGGTTCTTAAAATTAAGGCAATTATATTTTAAAGTTTAAGCATTGACCAGGTACTCTGTACTGTACACAGTGACACTGTGAAGATGGCCCTTATCACAAAAAATGAGGGTTGTTTTTTAAGTGTGAAAATAGAATTTTTCTGTGAAGCCCTAAGGAAGAAGAATAGAGTATTTTTTTAAACACACCTGGATGTGTCAAGCTACTGGGAAGGGTTTGAAAGCTTAGGAGTAAGGACAGCTGAACAGGAGTGATTGTATTAGTGGACAGGAGAGACAGAAGCTTATAGATTGTAATACTGATTCTTCCATTAAGAGTAAGCATAAGATGAAACTGTTACTGATAATCACGCATCTTTCTCATATTATTTCCCTCCTTTTATGTAAGACTAACAAAGGTTTGGAGTTTTTGGGTCATGGCTTTATTTGAGTACTAGACGGGCACTATGTTCTTTATCAAATACTCTTTCTATAGTTTTTGTGTGTGTGTGTCTGTCTGTGCAAAATGAGTCTGATCTTGGTCCTACTGAAGTCAGTGGGATTTCCGATGTGGACCTGAAAAGAGTTAAGATCTTGTCCAGTGATATGTGGCAAGTCTTTCATATAAAATTCTTTGAAGAATTCTTGAAACTAATTCCTTCCCTCACAACTAACATAAACCAGCACAGTAGAACTGGTAGCTAAGAAAGCAATTCTGGCTATGTTTTTGGAGAAAATGGAGGGTTTGGTAGTACTTGAAAAATCACAAACTGTAGAACAACAAGCAGTGAATAGCTGCTTTGTGTCCAGTAGACAGAATGCTGTAGAATAAATGATGAGAATTTGTATCAGTTCACTATACTGCCTGTCCTCACAGTACATTCCTAAGGAAAATCATATTTGTTTTATGACTTATATTCTCCATCTGAATAATGAAAAGACTAAGGCTTCTCTTCCAACACAAATTGATCTGAGACTTGGGAAGGAAAATGTATTTGGAAAAAATTATTTTTGCATGGCAAAGATATTATTTTGCAAAGGAGAAAATACATCTATTTGTAAATTGTTTCTAAAGTGATAATAACAGAGTACATGCTGTATATTAATTCATATGCTACATTACTGAAGCAGTGTCCAAAGTGCATTAGTGCTGGGAGGGAGTTTGGAAATAACATTTTATTATAATTAATCTGCATAGTAGAGGCTTTTTTCCCCAATCTGAAAAACTTACTGACTAGTTTGTAAAGCAGATAAATGGATGTGAAAGCATGTGGAGGCTAATAAATATCTTTCTATTCTAATGTGGAAGCACTATCGACATTTCAGCAAACTAGACCGTTTGGTAATTCAAATACTTACAAGTCAGGGAATCGATTCAGAACTGCAGTTGCCATTGTTATTTTAAAGAAATGCTGACAAAAAGAAAAATTCTGATTCAGGCTAGGATTCTGTTCTTTCAATCTCTGCTGCTTCTTAAGACACTTGGTGCATCAGTAAGGATCCACAAAATATGACATGAGGTTCTCTTGTAAAAGGAGAACAGCAGGTTGAGACAAAAATATTGCTTGCTACATAAATTATTGACTTTATATAAGATGTTGATACAGAACTCCATTTTGATTGCTGTTCAGTCATCCAGCCCCTCATAACAGGGAATGTAATTTCTCTTTTTATTATGGCATTGTATGTGGTATTCGGCAGCTTATGTGGTACAATCTGATTCCGGTCTGTTTCTCTTTGTGCCTCACAGAGGGGTTTCCAAGTCATAGCTTTCTTGGCTGATTTATCAGAAGCTAAAGGTGTAGACCTGGCAACCTGATCCATGTTCATTCCCAGTGGAGTGTTGTTTTTTTTTTTTTTTCATTAGGCTTTCTTTTAGGAAAAAGAGGGGGGCGTTACTGCCATTGGAGCATCTTGGAGATCCCAGTTCTTTAAGCTGTGCATCAGTTGTATAAATTCTGAGGCAGTTAAGAGCGCCCAGAGCTTTTAATCCACTATTTTCTACAAGCTTCAGATTCACCGGTGCGTTGGTGCCATCTTCAAGAAATGTCATCATGACTAACAGTATAGGTTTTGAAACTTCAACAAGAGAGACAGAGCATGTGTCCCACTAAGATTTTTGCTATGCCTCTTCCAAGCTCTTGGATTAACTGTGTAGAGCAGCTGAGAGAGTTTCAGTCTGGACTCAACTGACTACCATCTCTAAAGTACTTTGTCTGATGATGTCCTTTCCAAGCCAAGAAATGTGTGGTCTGTAATGTTACCTTATTGTTAAAACCTGAGGATGCACTCCAGATATTCGTAGCACTCGCTAAGTATAACAGTCTGAGATCACATTTTATTTAGCGTGAAAACCAAAACATCTCTTCAGATTTGTGAGACTATCTAAAGCAGATTGATAACTAGTGGAGGAGTCTACAGGTGTGAGGGTAGAACTGGCAGATGAACAATACACTGCAGAATGAATCGGTGTGTGTGCATCCATGAACAACAAACTAGATGGAGTCTAATTTCAGTGAATGACTAGAAAAGACAGAATTTTGTACAGCAGCGAGAAGTTTTAAGTAATCTTTTTTCTGCTTCCTTCCATACTTACACACTTCCCTACTCTGTCATTGCTTTGCTACCTGCTACAAAAAAGGAGGTCCTTTTCTGTGATGGCACAGTCACTGGAGTGACACAATTGCACATTGTGGTAACACGCTGTTACAAGTACAGTCTGGGTCCTGAAACACTGTGTGTGTGGTCAAGGGGCCCCACAAGTCCATCTGTGCACATCTGCTTGGGCATTGAGGTTGTGAGTCAAGGCCTTGCTCCTACTCTGAAGCTCAGTGCAGGTTGAGGCCTCTATGTCTCTATGACTGAAACATTAGAATTTGCATGAAGATCTTGAACCATTTCAGAACCCTTTTGTTAAAATATTTGATGGAGCTTTGTCTTTTGAAATGGCCAAAAACTGTTATGGCAAGTTTGTGGTATGTTTTTTGTATGCTATTAACTTTAAATTTTTTTATGAGATATGTTTGCTTGCTATTAGTTCCATAAAACATGTAATATAGACGTTTTCTTCCCTGATGTACTCTTGTTAGTCTTATCTGGAAGGAGAGTGGAAGCCCGTGAAAGGTATTACCTTCTTGGGAGTCATCCAAGAGAGAGAATATAACTCCCTCGCTTTAGTAAGGTGGAACTGCTATCTCTTTCTGTGTTGTGATCTCTTCCTTTGCTAGGTTCTGCCATGATAAACTGAAACAACAACAAAAACCAAACCATGACAACCACCCCCCACCTTGGCATGCCAGGGGCTTGACTGAGCCCTGTCTTTTGGAAATTAGTGTATTGAAGATTTGTCTGTCCCTGTGTAGTGCAGAGGTGCCAGTAAGGTCGCAGTCTTTTTTTTTTTTTTTCAAAACGGCACCACGATAGCATAATGAGCAGTGCTTATCTGCTTGTATTGGAAAACTGGGAGATGAATCTGGGTGACCCGTTGGGTAAAAAAAAACCCCTACCAAATACTCTTCTAACTAGTTTTGGGTGTTGTTTTTATTTGTAGAATGCTTTTACTTGTGGTTTAGTAAGACTAGCTTATTATATGTGCCCATGTGTTATCTGGCTGTGTTCCTACTACATTTTGAATGTTTTAAATTTCTTCCTCCTTGTTCTCTCAGCATAACAGATAATAGGAATCAGTAACACTTGAAATACACTGATCTGTGGCTTCCTGGTGGGAAACAAGATGAGTCACTGGTAGCTAAAACCAACAGCCATTATGTCCCTGGATTGAAATTTGTTCCTCTCAGTCTAATTATTCAAATACTTGCTTTCTCCACTGGCTTCCTCCCTGGCAGTGTGGCATGTCCTGCAGACTGCAAAGCTGGGGAGGAAGAGGTGACAGCAGTTACAGCACACGTAACAAGCTCAGAGAAGCGGTCCTACCAGGGATGGATACGGACACTTATACCATATGCTTCACCAGGTTGTGTATCGCCTGTCGTATCTAATAGCCCAGCCAGGCCAAGTATTTATTCTAGTAAGCAGACAACCTGTGTCCCAGGTTTCCTTGGTTCTTGCAGTGGAGTTCTGGACATGGCAGGAGTTGCTGCTGTTGTTAAGCTGCACCTTTAGGAACGCAGCACCATGCTGTCTACCAGTAGCATCGAATTTTTCCATCTCAGAGCTACCGTATAGCGATAATGTGTTACTTGATAAGTGGTTTTGTTATGTTTTATTAAGTTTTCCATGGGTTAGAGATATTCCTCTGTACATAGCAGGAATCTCTGATGGAAGCAAATGATGACTTGTTTTCCCTGAGAAGTCACTGAAGGGAACACAGCTGAAGCATGTCACAGTGATTTGTTACGAAGCATATACAGGTGGACTTCAAGATCCTTAGAGCAGTGAGGAGGGCGCACAACAAACTTGCTACCCTGGACTTCAGGATTGCAGACTTCGGTCTCTTTAGGGACCTGCTTGGTAGAGTAACATGGGACAAATCCCTGGAGGAACGAGAGGCCCAAGAAAGATGGTTAGTGTTCAAAGATCATCTCCTCCAAGCTCAGGAGCAATGCATCCCAACAAAGAGTAAGATGGGCAAAAATGACAGGAGGCCTGCATGGATAAACGAGGAGCTCATGGACAAACTCAAAAAGGAAGCCTACAGAGGATGGAAGCAAGGACAGGTAGCCTGAGAGGAATGCAGAGAAATTCTCCTAGCAGCCAGGGGTTAGGCTAGGAAGCTGAATCTGAACAGGGACATCAAGGGCAGCAAGAAAAGCTTGGTAGGTACATTAGTGATGTCTTGAGGAAACTGATGGATAAAGTTGCTAAGGCACTATCCATAATATTTAAGAAGTGGCAGTCTGGTGAAGTTCCCACTGACTGGAAAAGGGGAAATATAACCCCCCTTTTTAAAAAGGGAAGAAAGAAGACCTGAGGAACTACAAGCCAGTTAGTCTCACCTCTGTGCCTGGCAAGATAATAGAGCAGATCTTCCTGGAAGCTATGCTAGGGCACATGGAAAATGAGAAGGTGGTTGGTGACAGCCAACATGGCTTCACCAAGGGTAAATGGTGCCTGAAAAATTTGGTGGCCTTCTATGATGGTGTTACAGAGTTGGAAAATAAAGGAAGACCATCTGACGTCATCTACCTGGACTTGTGCAAAGTGTTTGATACTGTCCCACATGATGTCCTTGTCTCTAGATTGGAGGGATATGGACTTCACAGGTGAACTACTTAGTGGATAAGGAATTGGCTGGATGGTTGATGAACAGTGACGAGGGGTGTTTTTCAGGAATTAGTATTGGGACTGGGGCTACTAACATCTTTGTCAATGACATGGACAGTGGGGCTGAATGCACTCTCAGCAAGTTTGCTGATGACACCAAGCTGTGTGCTGTGGTTGACATGCTGGAGGGAAGGGATGACATCCAGAGGGACCTTGACAGGCTTGAGAAGTGGGCCCATGCAAACTGCATGAATTTCAGCAAGGCCAAGTGCAAGGTCCTGCACATGCATCAGGGCAATCCCTTGCACAAATGCAAGGTGGGCGGAGAATGGTTTGGAAACAGCCCTGCAGAGAGAGTCTTGAGAGTGTTGGTTGATAAGAAGCTCAACATGAGCCAGCAATCTGTGCTTGCAGCCCAGAAAGTCAACTGTATCCTGGTCTGCATCAAAAGAAGTGTGACCAGCAGGTGATTCTCCCCCTCTACTCATTCTGGTGAGACCCTACCTGGAGTATTGTGTCCAGTTCTGAAGCCCCTAACACAAGAAGGACATGGAGCTGTTGGAGCAAGTCCAGAGAAGGGCCACGAAGGTGATCAGAGGGCTGGAGCACCTCTCCTATGAGCACAGGCTGGGAGAATTGCGGTTGTTGAGCCTGGAGAAGAGAAGGCTCAGGCATTATAGAGGCCTTCTAGTACCTGAAGGGGCTACAAGGGCATGTAGTGATAGAACGAGTGGGGATGGTTTCAAACTGCAAGAGGGTAAATTTAGATTAGACATTAGGAAGAAATTATTTCCTATGAATGTGGTGAGACACAGAAACCTGTTGCTTGGAGAAGCTGGGGATGCCCCATCCCTGGAAGTGTTCAAGGTCAGGTTGGATGGGGCTTTGAGTGACATGGTCTAGTGGGAGGGTGTCCCTGCCCATGGCAGGGGTGTTGGAACTGGATAGTCTTCAAGGTCCCTTCCAACCCAAACTGTTCTGTGATTACTAGGGTGATCTTGGAAATGGAGCATTTGACTCTTGATGACTAATTACAAACTTGAAATCAAGGTTTTTCCACTTTGTTAAATTGGTATTTGTAATTTATTTATAAAATATGATTTTAAGTAGTTGATTATTTTGATCATTAACCCTGTAACCTTTTGATGTTTTTTGCAAGTTTTAAGACAAGCACCCCATTATATCTAGATTACTGGGAGCTCTTCTTTCTTGTATTGTTTTATGTTCCTTTGGCTGCTCGTGGATTAATCCAAAATATGTTTACGAAAATAATCCTTCACTGCTGCTCTGACTGTTTCTCTGTCTCAGAACTTCCTTGCTGGTTCCCTGTTTCCCATCACATCTGGTTGACCCACAGCTGAAACAGCAGGCCATCACCTCCACAATCTTCATGGCCCCTCACTTCAAGGATATTGAGGTGCTGGAGCAGGTCCAGAGGAGGGCAACAAGGCTGGTGAAGGGACTAGAGGGAAAGTCTTATAGGGATAGGCTGAGGGAGCTGGGGTTGTTTAGCCTGGAGGAGACCCAGGAGGGACCTTATCATTCTCTTCAACTACCTGAAGAGAGGTAGCAGTCAGGTGGGGCCTGGGCTCTTCTCCCAGGCAACTAGTGACAGGATGAGAGAGCGTGGCCTGAAGCTGCGCCAGGGGAGGTTTAAGTTGAATATTAGGAAGCACTTCCTCACAGTGAGGGTGATTAGACATTGGAATGCATTTCCCATGGAAGTGGTGGGGGCACCATCCAGGGATGTGTTCAAGGAAAGGCTGGATGTGGCAGTGCCATGTGGTGGTGTTAGGTCATAGGTTGGACTTGATGATTCTAAAGGCCTTTTCCAGCCTGGTGCTCTGAATTGTGGGTTGGCAGATTTGTGTCTCCTTCAGGCAGACTTGCATCTTCCTTCCACTTTGCAACTGGGGACCAGCGAGGCGAGAAGGGAAACCAGCTACACTTAGAAAGCACACACGTTCCTATGCCCTGCTCTTTCTCCTGTTCAGCCCAAGCATTGCGTGCACAGATAGGAAGCCTTCGGCGTGGGTCACAGATGCTGATGATCTGAATCAACAGAAATGTCTGTTGTTTTTTTTTCCTGTGAGAATAGTGTGCATCAATATCTGTGCTTTTAAACATCACCGCTTCAGGCTTGGGCAAAACCAAGATCAAGGTGGCTGATTTACTTGATGATCCGTCCGTACATCCCGTAGGATCCCTGCAGAGCGACGGGGAGGCCGGTGGGGAGCGGCAGCCTGGCAGCTCGCTGCGGGGCTGCGGTACCGAGCCCGGGCCGGACAGCGCCTGCAAGTGAGCACAGGCCGGGCAGCAGCCCGCCCCGGGTCCCTGCCCGCCGCGCCGTGGCTC